TCTGCCCCCATCTCGCCGGCGCTGGGGGCCCTGCTGCCGCGCCGGGCTCTGCCAGTCCTCCTGCCAGCCGGGGAGAGACCGCGGTCAGCGTGGGAAACCTGGACCTGGCCCTTCCCCACCCACCAGGCAACGCTGGGCAGAGTTTCTGTAGGACCTACAGTATCCCAGCATCAGGGTGAAGGAGCAGGTCCCAGGGCACGGGGGCTGCCTCCCAGCCCAGCCCCCGCCGGGAGACGCAGGGTGGCATTGTGCCACCAGAAAAGGGCCAGATTCTGCTGCTTCTCGACCCAGACCTGCCCGGAGCTGTGATGGGCTGAACACAGACAGGCACCCTGGCAAAGCCAGGCATCCCCCATCCCAACTGCCCCAGGGCCACATCCCACCCTGCGCCCCACCCCACAAGCCCTGCTGTGCACCTCTCATCTTGGAGAGGCTCCTCCTCGGAGCCCTCCGAGTCCTCCATGTCGGAGGTGTTGAGGAAGCTGAAGCTCTCCAGCGCATGCTCCACCGTCAGGCTGATGCTGGAGGCCCGGCTGAGGAAGATGCCCTGCTTCTGCTGTGGGAGAAGGCATGGCAGGGTTGGAGCCTGGCTTGCCTGCCAAGGCACCCTGCCACCTGCGTCCCTGGGCTCTGTCATAGGGATGGCCCTGTCCCCATCATCCCTGGGATCTGCCATCAGGGATAGCACCATCTCCATCATCACCAGGCACTGCCATCAGGGATGGCCCCGTCCCCATCATCCCTGGGCTCTACCATCAGGGGTGCCACCATCTCCATCATCCCCAGGCACTGTCATCAGGGACGGCCCCATCCCCATCATCCTGAGGCACTGCCATCAGGGACGGCCCCGTCCCCATCAGCCCTGGGCTCTGCCAGCAGGGACAACCCATCCCCATCATCTCCAGGCACTTGGGGACAGCCCCATCCCCACCATCCTTGGGCTCTGCCACCAGCTATGGCCCTGTCCGCACCATCCCTGGGCTCTACCATCAGGGACAGCCCTGTCCCCATAATCCCTGGGCTCTGCCATCAGGGATGCCACCATCTCCATCATCCCCAGGCACTGTCATCAGGGACGACCCCGTCCCCATCATCTCTGGGCTCTACCACCAGGGATGGCCCCATCCCCATCATTCCCAGGTACTGTCATCAGGTATGGCCCCATCCCCATCATCCCCAGGCGCTGCCATCGCAGATGGCCCCGTCCCCCTCGCCCCTGGGCAGCCCCTCACCAGCAGCATCTCCTCCAGGCGCTTGAGCTCCCGTTCGAGGGGCTGCAGCTCCCGGGACCGCCCCCCGTCGT